ATCTCTGAGGGAAACCAGTTAGCGCTCTTTGATAACGTGATGATTACATCCTTGCAGATCATCTGTCCATCATCGTATAAAGCCCGCCCTGGCAATCTGATTGGCCCGATCATTTTTTGCCTGATCATAATTACTCCTCAATGGATCGAGTCCAGACCGAACTTCCCGACCAAAAAATGTTGTGGACGGAGTTCGGGCTGGCATCCAGGCTAGTAGATTTAAGGTCTGCATTGCAATAAAGAATCTATAGTGGCTCGAATCTCGCCGTTGCCGAGGCAAGGCGTAGATTACGAGTCTACAATAATAAGGACGCATAATCTGTAAATAACAATTTTAAATAGTAAAAATAAATAATACTGTTTTTTGTGAGGCATTCACAGTCAGCTCCTGAGGGTGCTGTCAGTGTTCATTGAGAAATATCTCAACGCATAGGCCTACAAATTAGACCATGCACTGTCGGATATTTCAGCCTCACATCTGTTGACTTTCTTCTCGAGGGGTGAAAGCCAAATATAATTTTACGGCTCGAATCTCACGTTTGCCGTGGCAGCGTGTAGATTACGAGACTGTAATAATATTAAAACAGTATTGTTTGGTGAAAGAGTACCGCTTCTAGAGCCCCTCCTCAAGGAGCTTGGGGTAATAGACGGCACTCTCAGGCGAAGCCTCAGCCTAAACAGGGCAACCCGAGGGTCGTCCTACAGGCTACAAAGGCTTCCTCAAAGAGGTCCTTGCCAGCCTAGGTTCTCTGCGGGCAGCCCCACCGAAGCGACCGAAGTCGTCCCTTTCACAGAGCCCGCAGGAAATCGATGTTGCTCTCCCGCCGTTAAACACGTTTCGGGACGCATCGGTTTCCAGCGAACGCAGGCTGCACTGTCCGCCCCACAGGCTTGCGGCCAGGCAGCAATCGCATTCGCCCATCGAGAATCATTTTCGGTCCAGCCCTGGCGGAAATCCGCTTCAGGGGGTCGAGAACGAATCCCGATTAATACCCGAAGCTCGAGAGCCTGGTTCCCTTGGTAAAATAGGGCCCTGCACACCAATCAGAATGTGTAGAGGCTGCAGTTCGGTTTCCACCCACCCAGATGCAATAGGGTGATCTGGACTGTAGTTGACCCAGTGCAGGGTTGGGTATTGGAACAGGAAGTAAACTTCCTTCTTGAAAGAGAGGCCATAGAATGTATTCCTCCACTAGACAGGGAGTCCGGGCTCTACAGCCGCTACTTCATAGTTCCCAAGAAGGATGGGGCGGTTGCGTCCGATAATAGATCTCAGGCACTTGAACCGTTCTCTGAGGAGATTCAAATTCAAGATGCTCACCAACAATTGTGAACCAAATTCAATCCAATGATTGGTTTGTCACGATAGATCTGAAGGACGCTTACTGTCAACTATTCATCCTTCCATTTCACAGGAAGTTCCTGAGGTTCGCTTTCGGGGGCGAAGCGTACCAATATTGGGTTCTTCCGTTCGGCCTAGCACTCTCACCCCGCACATTTACCAAATGTGTGGATACAGCCCTAGCACTCCTGAGACTTGAGGGTATCAGGGTGCTCAATTTTATAGACGACTGGTTCATTCTGGCTCAGTCACAAGAGCAGGCGGTTTAGCATCGAGATGTTGTCCTCGCCCACATCCAGAAGTTGGGGTTGAGACTCAACATGAAGAAGAGCGTGTTGACACCAGCCCAGAGAACAATGTTCCTGGGAGTGGTGTGGGATTCGGTCACGATGTGGGCACGGCTGTCTCCCGCGTGAGTCGAGTCCATCCTGGCCACAGTGGCTGGGATAAAGCTGGGCCAAGCCATCACTGTCAAACATTTACAGAGAGTGTTGGGGCTCAGGGCAGCAGCGTCAAGTCAAGTCAAGTCAAGTCACATTTATTTATATAGCGCTTTTCACAATAGATATTGTATCAAAGCAGCTTCACAGTGATAACATGAAAGTAGTACAACACAGATCAACAACATTGCTAAACACTAAATAACCCCAACTGAGCAAGCCAAAAGCAAGCCAAAAGCAAGGCGACAGTGGCAAGGAACCAAAACTCCATAAGATTGAATGGAGAAAAAACCTTGGGAGAACCCAGGCTCAGTCAGGGGCCAGTTCTCCTCTGGCTAACATTCATATTGTTTATATATAAATATTAAATATAAATATTGTTTATGTATAAAACTGCGCCATAACATATCGCAGGCGTTGAGTCGTCTCTTCACAGGCGTTGGGGCATCCGAAATCCCCGTGAGAGGCTGGATACAAAACTGGACCTGACGAACGCCATTTTTCTCGGGACAAGCGTCAAAACGTCAGTAGACTATGGAGTACCGCAAGGATCGGTTTTAGGCCCTCTGCTATTCTCAATATATATGCTGCCACTTGGTAATATTATAAGAAAACATGGAATTAATTTCCACTGTTACGCTGACGACACTCAATTATATATTTCATCACGACCAGATGAAAACACTAACTCATCTAAAATGACAGTGTCTCTAAAATGACAGAGCGTCCAAAATCATTCCATTCGGCCTGCTGCTCATGAGGGCCCTTCAGTGGTGGTTTAAAACCAAGGGATTTTCCCTGAGGGGAAATCCATTCCGCACGATCAGGGTTACGCACAGAGGCCTTCGTTCCCTATCTATGTGGAAGAAAGCTTGGTTTCTGTCCCAAGGTCCAGTGTTGGGAGTGTCATGTCGCCGGAAAACCGTCTCGACAGACGCCTACCTCACGGGCTGGGGCGCAGTCATGGATGGCCGCTTTACGACTGGTCTATGGCAGGACCATCATTCCTCCTGGCACATAAACTGCCTGGAAATGTTGTCGGTTTCCCGGGCTCTGAGGAGCTTCCGGCCGGACCTCAGAGGTCACCATGTCCTCGTGAGGTCAGACAAAATGTCGGTAGTGGCCTATATAAACCATCAGGGGGGCCTGAGGTCTCGCCCTCTATGCAGATTAGCGCATCAGATCCTCCTGTGGTCCCAGGAGAAATAATTGCTGTCTCTAAGAGCGACATTCATCCCGGGGAGTCAAAATCAGGGAGCAGACGTCCTGTCGAGACAGGGGCTGAGGCCCGGGGAGTGGAGACTCCACCCCGAGGTGGTGGAGTCAATATCTCAGAGGTTCGGCCCAGTGGAAGTGGACCTGTTCGCGTCTCGAGAGTGTCCACAGTGGTTTTCACCGCACTTCTCCAGCCTCCCTGGCGAACACACAGTGAGCAGAGTGTAAAAGGATATAGACGCCGGATAGCGTAGCAGGAACGGTGACTGAAGGCGGCAAAGTGCAGGCCAACGTCATCAGTAAAATGGCTCGTACCACAGAAGGCTTTCTCGACGGCATGGCTTCTTACTTAGGATCCAGCGATGTGTGCGCTCTTCGCTGAAGAGATGAAAATCAGTGATATCAGCCCATCGAGCTATGTTTATAGGGTTAGGCCACACCCGCTGTGACGCAATGTGCGCGAATCGCCCCAATTGGACCGTCACCAAAGGGCCGCTCTCGATAGGCTGCTGCAGTTGCCACAGGACAGCCAATTATAGGCACGCTAAGCCGCCTTGCCTATGTCTGCATGCTGCCGCAACGCGTTTTACATTAATACAAAATTAAGGATAATTTTTTGGCTTCAATATCTCGAGGAAAGAAGAGAACGCTCGTAAGAGAACGCATCTTTTTCTCTCCGGTTTGGCATCCACACTGAGATGGCGATTTTATTAATGAAAACGAAGCTTTTTGAAAACGCTCTCAAAACTGTTGTAGTGTGGAATGTCAAAACTGAGGGAGGATATTTGAAAACGGTTTAGCACTCTTATGGAAAATGATAATATTTTGTAATTGTCATTTAAATCTGACCCATTTTCAGATTGTTTGTAAGAAATCAACATGAATTGAAAATGTTTCAAATCCGGGGTGAAAAAAAATGGGGTTTCAAATCCGAATATGACTTTCTGTTATGTAATTGAAGTCATACGTCCACTGTAGTGGACACCAGGACTTACATCATGACATGTCAGCCATTTTGGGAGACAACAAGTGAATAGGAAAAGAAATTATATATCACTATTTTTTGGAAAATATTTCCAATTACTCATAACTCCCATTATTACACATCTTTTTTTCATTAAATGTTGTCCAAGAAAAAATTTTATGCGCTAATTCAATATAGAAATATCGCATATAAATGAGAATGGCATTTATGGCCATGTTTACATGCATATTGTAAAATGGTATATCAAATCATTATATCGAAATGATATTATATGACCCCCCGAGAGAACATACTGTAGCATCATGTAAAATGTGTTTATGTCTTTATTCCATTTGTTTCTTATGATCCAAACAATGTAATGACAAATAATAGATTAAACTATATTCTACAAAGTAGGCCTAAAACATTGATTTAAGATGTTATTCAATTATCACTTAGTCTAGCTATGATTAATTTAATAATAATTTACCTTTCTAAATATAATTCAAACAAACAGTGAATTAAAAATAATTAATTAAAAATACATAAAAACACTTTTCTAAATATTTTTTTTTTTCATTAATAAAAAGAGAAATGTTTTATAAACATAATGACTTAAGCGTTAATCTTGTCTGTCAAAGAATGGAAACATCAAATAAACAAGGTGAGGTCATCACAGCAAACGATTAATATATGCATTTCGTCACCGAGCTCTTCCAATAATAATGCATTGCGCTGGAAATCCGCCGATGGTTGGACGGCGTTGCTGCCCATTACAGCTCCACCCAAGTTCGGTTGCCCGGCAGCGAACATCCGAATCATACTATGGGTGACGATTCGGTTTATGAATATTAATTACTTTAAAGAGAACGTTCGGCCAGTGAGCCTGCCTGGTAATCCTTGGTTTATGAATATTAATGAACCCAACCAAGAGATGCTCCACGTAACGTCATCAAGGCCTGTTGAATAATTCATTAGCTCATCCATTTCAATAGTAGGATTCGTAATGTCGCTCCCCGGCAGAGTCATGGATGCTCAGTTGAACGCGGGGATCGAGAGTCGGTCACATCTTAGGACTGGAAGCGGAGCTCGTGGGATTTATGAGACTCATTGCTAAATAGTTTCTCTGACTAAAGGCGTGACAGCATCCACGCGGAAAGGACCCCCGTGCGGAGACTGACGCATCACATCACATCGGTGAAACAAAGCGTTTGTTTTGCGGAGCGCACTAGTGGAATCAAAATGTCAGATGTTGCTAGCGGTATTGGAGCGTACGGACGCCAATAGACCATTGTTATTGTTTTTCATGAATATGGGTTTCCGTTAACGGAGGACGGAACGGTCAGGTGCACGCGTTTGATTTACATTTTTTTTTTTTTTTTTGAAAGAGTCAATAAGTTGCGCGTGGACTAAGACTTGGATGGATAGCAGGTGCATGAACGCAGCACCTATAAATCGCCAGAGCAATGGCATTCTTCAATCATTGTTGTTCTATTCGCATATTAGTGTTTTAAGATCCGGAATATAATATCTGATTATAAAGCAGCATTTATTATTATTATTATTTTCAATGCAGTGGGATAGGGTACCAGGCGCGTGATTAGCTTACATCAAGCGTCTATTTACATTACGTTTAATTATCTCTATACAATTGCATGCCTTACATTTTAAAGTTAATTCAAAGTGGTGCTAGTCATTTTTTTGACCACTGAAGCTAATTACTCCTAAAGATAAAGTGAAGAAATTACATAATTCTTATAGTTAAATGAATGAAAACAAAGCATTTTTCACAATTCATAATAGGCATATTTCTAATGATATGAGGTGGTTTCACTCTACATTTTGCGTTTGTTAATTGTTATGGCTTAGTTACAGGTTTATAAGAATGGTTTAGTTATCATGACTGTTTGAGATATCCCAACAAATCTAAAATGCATCCTAGGTAGGGGCAACTTCGCAACTGCGGGTTCTGTAGTTAGATTGTGTTTTTTATTGTTAATTAAAAGTGTTAAAAAGTTATTTGAGTGAAAGCTTTAAATCCAGAGGATGATCCTCTCCGGAGTGGCTGGACTGCTGTCAGAGCGGCTTTCACAAGATTAACAGCCCGCTGCTCTTTTCTTTTGCCTGTACGCCTACAATAATATCATTTTATGGACTATTCTTCATCTTTACCTATTTTTAAAACTTGTTTATCGCAAATGGGACTTAAATAAAGATTTCCGGAGCAGCTGAAGTCATAACCATCTTATAAATCATATACGATGCTTTTAAGACTCAAGTAAACTGTTTTAACTATAGTTTCAATAATTAATGAAATTAGTTGAACTTGAGAAATAACATTGTCTTTGAAGTGGACCAATCTGAGAAGCAGCGGATATTTTTCTGCTTCTGTAATATGACATTGTGACATAAGGATTTTTTTTTTATTAACGTGCCAAACAGAGAAGCGACTGACACAAATTGTAAATATGACTTTTGTGACAGTGGAATTGATCAGAGGCGTGACATCAGGAGTCCTCTCTTTTTGATGCTTCAAACTAAAGTAGCGGCTAAGACGGATTCTGCTGCTTTTTTGTTGAAATATGACATTGTAACTTTACAAATTTAGGTGTTGCAAACTAAGAAGCAGCTCGGACTTTTATTCTGCTGCTGCAAATGTCAGACATTGAGATGTGGCAAACTGTTGATCAGCCGATGCCAATATGACATTGTGACATCAGGAGTCTGTCTCTAAAGCGCCAGACTGAGGAGCAGCTGACACTCTTTTTGCTGCTGCTGCTGATGATGCTGCTGCTGCTGCGAAAATGCTGCGATTCCCTGTGAAGAAAATACGAAAGCAGTTCAAACTTCTGCTACTGCTGGTGCTGCTTACTTTTGCCGTGTGGTTTACGTACCTGCACATCAACCAGGGAAAATCCATCAAACTCCACTTCAGCTATGGGAAAGGTAAGGCGTATGTCTGAAATGTTTCATTTAAGATGTGAAGTGAGTGTAATTTTGCTCTCTGTGGGTCTTTTTGAATATTCTTGTTGTAAAGAATAAAAGAAGCTGCGGTTCAGAATAAAGAGTGAGATGAATAAAGGAACTGCTGAATTATCAATTTTATTATTAACTTTAATTAACAACTATAGGGCACCAGCACTAATACATTTCATATTTGGCAGATTCAATTGGGTGTAACATTAGTATGCATTAGAATGCACTTTGCAGAGGAAGTTAAATGATTGAATTTTGAATTAAATTAAAGTTGCATTATATTGGTTTCAAGTGCCATTATGGAAAACATAAGTAGAAATGTTCAGATGTGCAGAGCTGGTCTGCTGTGATGAACCTTCAAGTGTGAATGACCAGAAAGTGTGTTTGCACAAGCCATGTGCTTGTGAGAATCTTTTACCTCAGATTCAAAACCCATACAAATCACTCTTTATGTGGTATGGCAACTGGACTTGAATTTACCTTCTATTTTAAACATGTAGGCAGTGAAGACTTGAGTTAAAGATAGACTTGTATTCAAAAACATGACTTGTTTGTTAATGAAATGCGTCAATGTCACAACCCTGTTCCCACACAAACACGTTCCTTTTTTAAGGTAAAGTGTGACACGTTTGTTACTAGCTGAAATATAAAGAGAATTGCAGAACAAGATACCTTTTCATTTTCCGAAGAACATATGTGTTAATTATTGATAAGGTGCGTCTACATTTGAATATATAGTATTTAGTGAAAGCACTGTGTTCACCCTGAAAATTCCAACTATAAGAAGTGAACTTCAAATATTTGGATGATGCACTTATTCAAAGGGTTAGTTAACCTAAAGATGAAAAAAATTGTAATACTCACATGTATGTCGTTCTAAACCCATAAGACTTTCGTTCATCTTCACAACTATAAAATGAAGATATTTTTAATGAAATCAGAGATTTATGTCCTTCCATTGACAGCTAAGCAACTTTCACTTTGACTCTTCAAAAAGTTCATAAAGAGATGGCAAAACTAATCCATATAATCCAAATTGTGTGGTTTTGTCCACATTTTCTTTATGATGAACAGATTTAATTTAGGCCTTTATTCACATTAGCATCAGTGAACATAAAACAGAAGCTCAACCTTGACTTGATGTGCTTGAGACGTGAAAACAAACCACATTGGTTCTTGCAGAAGCTCAAACGTGCTGCGTAACATGTGAATGAATCTCAATGGTTCCTGCTGAAGCTCAAACTATCAGGGTTTGTGGTTGAAGAGATGAAGCAAGGACTCAATCCTAGGAGAAATAGGCTTTTATGAAGCAAAATAAAACAAAGCACAAACAAAAACTAAACCGAGGGGGAAACCAAAAGACTTGACTTGACTTGACTTGACTTGACATGACATGACATGACATGACTTGACTTGACTTGACTTACATTCAACAACAATCCAGCACATGACTGCAAACACAAGGAGAATAAATAGGGAGCAAACAAGACAGGTAATGAGGGACAGGTGGGGCAAATAAACCAATAATCAGGTAACAAGATAGGCGGGGTTAGACAATAGACTAGAGAGCACACAGCTCATGGAAACATACATGACCAGCCACGTGCCCAAACAAAATGAGACATGAACATTAATGAGAACTCATAAGCCATGTGTGTTAACACAAAACGTGACAAGAAAGCAACACAACAGAGCACAAGACAAAACATAGCATGAAAGCATGCGGCCGATGAAAACACATGCTACACAGAACACAACACACGTGGAAAGAAGAGTGTACGGCCTGAGCGAACTCGAACCGCACGCTATACAACAAGACAGAGCGCACGAGAACAACTAAATACTCATCCTGTGCGCTCACAACAGAATACAAACACGCGGAGGATGAATCCCGACACAAAACCGAAACCAAATTAGGCTGAAGTGCCGGGATCCGAACACCACGCCTGTTCACAAGACAATACACATGGACAGAAGAGCGCATGGCTAGCATGTTCTGGGTGATTGATAGGTGGTTGCCTACTAGTCCAAGTCAAGTCTCTGTGATATTCTCTAGATATGGCTTGGTTCCCTACTTTAGTGAAAGTCAATGGAATTGAATTTCCTGCTTTATTGACTGTTAGGTTAAAAACAGGGGATTTTTCAAGTATTTGTCCAAAGTTTAATACTTAAACCCAAGGTATGCTTCCACTGTCTGCATTCTACTTAGTTTCATGGACAATCAATGTTTTCCACTGCGTGGTACGACTCGGCTCGACACAGCACGGCTCGGTTCGCTTCAGCTTGGGTGCTTTTCCACTGCAGTTAGTACTGCTTTAAAGTGGGTGGGATTATAGACTGATCGATAACAGCGGTGGCTGTTACTGGCTATTTAAATCTAGTGGGCTTGGTTTCTCTTGTCGATGTCTGTTGGTCGCAAATACAATGACGCTGGTATTGACGATTCTGTCTGACCAATCAGTGATCTGCAGTGTCTCACGTCAGATTTTAAGTACCGATACGGTACGCTTGGAAACTCAACAGAACAGGTACCATTTAAAAAGCGAGCCGTACCGTACCGTACCATGCAGTGGAAAAGTGCTACAAGTGAGCCGTACTGAGTCGAGCCGTACCGTACCATGCAGTGGAAAAGCGTCAAAGCGTGCCATACCGAACCGTGCCGTACCATGCAGTGGAAAAGCGCCATAAAGGTACAATCACGTTTTCCATTGTTTGTCGAAGTTTCGCAGCCGAATTTTATGGGAATCCAGGGGGGTTGGGAATTTGAAGGTGAGGGTTGGTCATTTTCAGCCCGTTCTCACCCCCAAGGCGTCACTTAACTGACGCCTTGGGAAGCATTTGGACATGCTTCAATATCTGACGCTTTAGGCGCCCTTTAGCGTCAGTTAGATGACGCCCTAGGATCGCGTGTACCCTACCCCCACCCCATACCTAAACCTAACCGCGTCCTCTAACTGACGCTTTCCTTTAGTGTCAGTTAGATGACGCCGTAGGATCGCATCATTAAGTGACGCTAAAGGGCGCCTAAAACGTCAAATATTGAAGCATGGTCAAAGGTGATGCCTTGGGGTGAGAATGCTATAGGGGCTATAATAGGGGCTTTCGCACTGGAGGAACCTTTTCATAGTTCCTAGGAAGTACCCTTATTTTGGCTTGTTCGTACTGCAGGAACTGGGAATGATTTTAGTTCTAGGAATTCCTTTTGGAGAAAATAGTACTCCTTTTCCAGCACTATTGGAACTACCAGTGACGTTAATGAACACTGATTGGCCGAACGCATATGAAACCCCAACACCCGGCATTTTTCATAAAAGCTGTGTAAACACACAGGTTACCGCCTTCATATTTACTCCACAAACTAACTCTATGAACATGGAAAACAGTGATAGATGGGCCTCTTAACCTTTTCGCTGAGGAGCCAAACATGTTTATGTATTTCTGCTCAGCAAGTGACACTGGACATCAACTATGGCATATGCTAATACCTTTTCATTACTGCCTACTTTCTATGTATAACAGTTCTATATAATAACACAATAGACAGGACTGTTAGACAGATCGTAAGCTAATGAACACGGACAATACAAGCACTGTGTGCTCAGGCTCTGGCGTTCTCAGCGCCGTCAAAATAAAAATCACAACAAGCGTGGCTTACGTCACTTCAGAGTTTCTACTGGCGGTGCGAATGCAACCAGGAAAATGTTCCTATGGGAACCATTAGTTCTCGGGGAACCACCCTGGTGGATAGTTCCTAGAACTGCCCGGTGTGAACTAATAAACAGTCGAACCTTCTTTCCCACACAGTTTTGCTAATGTGACTGCACCTTAAAACATATATTAAGAACACTAATATTGGCAGTGCTCTAACACAGGGTTAGACCCCTAGAGCCCGTGTGACAGCATCTTTTTGTGTCTGCCACTCTACAAGAGGATCTTCTTTCTCATTAGCTGCTAAAGGTCCTGTGTGGCTTGGCATCTCTCCTTAACTGCCCCAAACTGACCTCAATCATAACCCAGGAACCTCAGCCTCTGTCTGGGCTCTTTTTTTCAGGCCACCAAATCACTCCTCTCGCAAGAAGTGCACTGGAATCACTCAAGTGCGAGAAAGGCCGTGCAAACCCTATATTAGCACGAAGAAGATGTCTGGAAAATAACGTGGCATCGCACCAAACCATCCATAGCGAAATTAAAAAGTCTGTGGGGCTCACCGAGTGACGTTACTGACATTTTAATCAGAGATGTTGGCTGTGAAAATGCATGTTTGCACAAATAGGCGGGCCAATTTCTAGCCTGAGGGCTCACAGTGGTCACCTTATTGCCAATTACAGGCTCCATAGGGCTGGGTCAAGATATAACTATGCACCAGCTGTGATAGGTTGCTGTGAACAAGGGTCTTTTTAAGCAACCAAGTGTGAAGGAATGTGTTGAAGGAACAAGCGGGTCATTCCTGTAATGCTGTAACTCAATATGTTTTTTTTTTTTTAATCAATGCATATTGGGTTGTAATTCACATAGAAACTCATACTCTTAAAAAGATAGGTAAAAAGGCAATGCCATTGAAGAAAAAAAAAATTATGTGAACACTACTTGAAAGAACCATTTTTTTTTAATTAAAGGAGTAGTTCACTTTTGAAAAAACTTTTGCTGATAATTTACTCACGCCCATGTCATCCAAGATGTCCATGTCTTTCTTTCTTCAGTCAAAAAGAAATTAAGGTTTTTGATGAAAACATTCCAGGATTTTTCTCCATATAATGGACTTCAATGGGAACCAAACGGTTCAAGTTCCAAAAGAAACTTTAAGTACAAACTGCAAACTTGTTTAAAGGGCTTTAAATGATTCCAGACGATGAATAAGGGTCTTATCAAGCGAAACGATCGCTCGTTTTATAAATAAATAACAAAGTTTTATAAGCTCAAATGCTCGTCTTGCTCTTTTCTGTAACGCACTCCTGTTCAAACTCGTTCAT